GAATCTAATGCATGTAACCAAGCCAAGTTAAGATCGTCCTTAGAGTTAGAGGTGAAGTCACCATTCATAGTAATAATAGTAATAATGATAATACCGCATATTCTCTTGTTTACGAGACACTCTTTTATGCATGAGCAGATTTTTACAATTGTTTCGTATAATATTTACAGAACATTCCAAACGTCAGGCAGATAAAAGGTCGTGTTTTTACCCCGCATGGTTGCCCAGTTCAAGACCTTGAGTTGGCACAGAATAGTTCATAGCATCCTGACGGAGAGCTCCGTGTACGAACGGAACCAAGATTTGTTTCCTTGGATAAAGGATGTGGAGCAATTGTGTAATGAGAAGAGAAACATTAAAGCTGAAATCATACTTATAGTGCATAGCGTCTAACTTAAGCTAAACATTTTTTGTACATAGTGGCGTTCTAAAAGGAGTAGTGAAAGAGTGCGTGTTTATTTATTTTCATTTCAGCAGTTATACAAATAGGCTGAGACAGATAGAATGGGTGATTTATTAGTTGTGTGTGGTTGGCATTTGTCAACTGGCTCAGGCGTTTTGGTTTGACTGTACGCTAGGCGTAAGCGAGTAAGACGAAATATGAGAGATATTCGAAATAGGGATGAAGAGGCTGGAAGAAGAATCGGGTAGCTGCTGCCAGACATGTTTACATGAGACCAACAGTTGAAGCGTAGAAGCGTAAAAGAAGAGCGAATGGTACAAGTGCATGAAGATGGAAGATTCAGTTGGCGTTTCTTTCTCAGCTCACGCATTTTAATATGGCTGGGAAGAAGGCGTGGCTGAGTAACCAGAATTTCAAGTTTGGGGGCAAAATTGGTTTGGTCAACTTCAGATTGCAATTCCTCTACAGCTTCCATTTTGGCGTGTCTTTGAGGTAAGTTTTCCAAACTAAAGGAGAAATTAGGATCAGGTAAGGAAGACCGAAATGGCTTCTGTTTAATTTCCCCTTTTTGCTATGCACAAGTTCAGGAGAGCGTGCCCATAACATACATTATACGTAGCGCATATTAGGTGTATTTGGAATCGGCTTTCCTATGTCTCGACCCCGTCAACAAATGGCATTTTTGCATTACAATTTGGTTGCAATATTGTTATCACATATTGCACTGTCACCTAGTTAGAAACTGCTCTTTCCAACCCTGGTCACGATTCGCATGCTCTTATTTCAATAGGGAAGCGGTTCCAGATTCCAGTGTATCTGTTTAGGCAAGATTTTCTTTCCAAAAGCACTTTTCGTTTTGAACACCAGAAATTTGTTCTTGGTATTCCTAATTGCGTATCTACCTCCTTGCTTGGAGTGAATAATCGTATTTGGTGCGAACACACGCTTATGCATTAAGACAAATTGCAATGTTAATTCTAACTTCATGCGTCTTAGCCACAGTGGCTCCAACTATGGCAGCTTACAGCGCTCAGAGATTGTAATTGCTGTGCTCCAAGGGACAGTCAAGGACCAGTTATATCGAGGTCATCCTGAACCGTCTCCAAAGGTTCTAAAATATGGAATTTCAACTTTCTTGTTGGCCCATTGAAGTTACGCGAAATCCACGGCTACGATAACGTTCGTTCTCATAGTGCAAAAAGACTGCTCAGTCTGCGTACAGACTATCAACTTTACCTCATCAACAAGGACATTCGTCACTCATTCGTTACACTTCCTCCGTCATCCACCCGGCATTGTCCGCAGATTGAACACATAGGCATAAGTCACCAGTGGCGTGGCAGCATTCAGGACTGCGAATCCTATTGATCAATTTGTATCGAATCTGCTTGCGCGTTATTGCGACCGTTTGGATTCTTTTCTATAGCTCACCTAACAGTAAACAAACTCAATTGAACACTGGTAATTTGAGATAACGGCGTGAAAATCTCACTTTATCGTCTGCTCGGGACGTTGACCAACTTTGGCCATGCTTGCAACAGACCAAGTTTTCTGCGGGTTTATCCAACTGCAGCGTTGTTCGTTGCACAACCACAAGTTGGATCTCGATAACATCCTGCGAGCTGCTTAACCGTCGACGGACTGTATTTGCGGTTGGAACACAATGGGTTCAACCAGTCGATTTCCCGGCAACTAAAAACAAGTCTTCACTGTGACCCTGAACCCTGGTGCCCTAAAGGTGACACGGAAATCGGAGCCACCACATCAACCGTAAAGAACCTCAGGCTGTTTTGTTCAACCAAATCCACCGGATACAAATCACATACCATCATACAGACACTTTACGAGCAAGAAGGTACACTGCTTACCAAACTACACAATGACCTGAATCGCTGAGCAAAGCACTTTACAATCTAATACTCTAACACAACCTTCTGCTACATATTCATTGCGTTGTGGTGATTGTTCTGTCTGCACAGATTCTCCCACTGAAGCTAGAATTCGGAAAGAAATCCTGACGTGGACTCCACAAATTTCTTGACCTTGACAGCCTTCCTCCGGCCACATTCAAGGATGGCGGTTGTTTAATTGTGAATGAAATCTCATTGTTCACGAGGGTATGTGCTTGTGAGAAAGTTCCCAGGTCGTGGGGCGAAGCACGTGTTCTCCTGATGTAACTGAAATGCTATCGCAACGAGCGCCTCAGCCACCGAGGAAACTCACATGTCTCCGTCGTGTCCGAGGTTTGAAGTCCATCTTGCTTCGTAAACGTTTACCAATTCGATAGTTTCTTGCGAAAACAGACTGGTTTTCGTAAGGGCCGAGGTTTTATCGGCCTTGCCTTTAAGTTGCATTAAGTTTTTGAGCAACTTCACGTCCACCGAATATTAGCATTGACACTGTATTTGATTTTCCATCCACTTTTGCAGCAATAGCTTGATTATCTCTACGTGGCTTTTTGTTAAGGAACATTGTACGCAACGAGTTTGTCGTATACGTCAAATAACTGCATTGTCGCACAGCGGGCTAAGTTTGGCGTTATTGTAAGCTCCTTCTACGTTGCTGTAAGCAACGAAGTATGACAAGGTTATCCTATCCCGCCATTCCTGTTAAAATTTATAGATGAAGATGTTCCCATCGATCATTGGAAGGAGTCAAGAACTACCGCGTCGCGCTTCCTCACGGTCAGGGGGTCTTGGACTTGTATGACGCAGATGACGTTGATTTGCTGAGGGACGATCCACACCCTCCAAAACATTTTGAGGCCCCCAAGGATGGAGGAATTTTATTTTAATATGTGCTTTGCCACATCCAACTGCAAAGCTTTGCTTCAGTATTGGCAAGTGCCTAATGTATCCCCGCCGACCGTTCGCACCCCATGACCGCAGAGAGAACATGAAGATGAGTCAGGACCGAGTAGTACGATGCTTCCTTAACTAGGGTCCAATAGTGGGTGAAGCTACTAAAACACATCAGGGCAAACCACAAATGCAGGTGACTCCGAATGGGGCAAGCGAATTAGAAGCGATAAAAGTAAGTGCCAAACACTGTGTCCGTGAAAACGGTGTTAGCAGGAATGGGACTTCGAAAAGACATCCATTGCGAATGACATCTGCTGGCCAACCAAGTTAAAGAAAAGGTGCGTTTAAACAACTGTCAAAAAACAGACGGTGGCAAAACGAAAGCAAACAACTTAGGATTGTCACAAAAAGTATATGTCCAGTACGCATTTTTCTAGTGGTACCAGTGCTAATGCAGGCAACATCCTGGTGAAACTTAATAAAAGCCGCGACACGCCTCGTGACAATGTTGGCGATGCAATTTCAAAGCAAACTGCTAAAGCTCCAATTGCATACATTAGCCACGGGCACTTGTGATGTCATGATAACCGCAATCACAAGAAAATGGAAAAATGTGAAATGCGATACTGTGAGAACTGGTCTGTTCGCTCGAGAGATTCGATTCAGGTGCCAGTTCTAGGCAACCGCTGTTAGCGAACGATTGCTCGCGTGTGGTGGCATCCTAATGTAAACAGTACAGAGGTAAAGCTCAGCACTCGGGGGGAACAGTCCCTCCCTCTAGAATATCATTATTTACTATCGCTTGCGTCGGCTGGGCTACGTACTGCGCATGCCATTTCATCAACGCCATCTTTGCACATAATTTGAACATTTTGGATTCGCATGGAAAATGTTGCGGTGGACGACGGATGACGGAGGAAAAGAACCTGAATAAGGTTACTTCACGTCTAGCCTTAGCCGAAGCTGTCCGTCTGTGAATCACGTGACGCTGAGTCACAGTGGCTGGAAGTGAAATAGTATACTTCGCAAATGGAAATTTGTGGCTTCAAGAGTCCTCTGCATTTCCCTTGATAGCAAATGTGCAATTTAAAAACAGCAGAAAATGCTCAAAACCGTGTGTGCGAAAGATCAATGATGAACCGCTCCATTTGGTAATGCGGTTTTCCTTTATTTGTGCAACAATATGTCTTCCATCTACCACAGCCATTTTTTGACTGTGTATTTGTGTGTTTGCAGTTTTAGGAATTAATATAATAATATTATATGGGTACGTAGGTACATGAAACTGTTCCTTTGCACTTCGATCAAAAGTTTCGGTGTTCATTGTTGCCAACGTTGCGCGCGCATAAATGAGGTCTCATGCCGGTCAGCTTACTACACAGCGTATTGGCAACGATGAATCTTCCTTCAATATTATTATCTGGAATTAAATAAGTTTACTCGGATGCTACTTGCTATGTTCCTAAGCGTGTACCCTGAAATGCGCCAGATTGGCAGATTACAAATAGACCAGAGTTGATGCGGTAACAACCTCAATAATCCCTAGTTACACTATTCTTACGTTCGGATGCCAATTTTTTAACGTAAACGGCTTTGATACTTTCGAATTTGACACCTGATCTTCGCTTGTGTCTTCATATTTTGAAATTTGTTTTCATGGCGGAACAGCATTCAACAGCTGATTAGCTAGCGCTTTCAATGCTGGTATGGTAGTTGAATGGCTGCACTAATCCTACTGACATGGAGATTGCGTGCTCAGTTGTTAAGATACATTTTTTCCCTGTTGCACTCTTCAGCGTATTGCAAATCAGCTGTCATCTGCGAGGAACAGACGAGTTTTCTTCACTGAGGTATGTTATCAGTGTTGTTCCAGTGAATCTCGTACAGAACTTCTCCATTCTTCCGCGGTCTAATGCTAATGCTGTTGTCTCCATACAAACTGAATCAGTATTTCATTATTTTAAACCTATAATGTGCCTATCTGGCCTCCAGACATAAAATCGATTTTTGCCAGACATAATTACCAGATTACTGGCGCTGAGCGCGTTTTACTGGTTTACCTAATGTTTGATCAAGTCAGCGAAGAAACGCTGCATATCATTTAGTTTTCGGGTATCGAGACTTAACCATTTCGTGTGTTCATTTTGTTGAACGTTCTGGAGTCAAGCTATCGATTCGGTGTTTGTAAGCATGTACTAAGATACTCTCCTTTATACTGCTGATAGTTACTGCTCGTTCCCCAGTGGGTGCTATCTATTCAATCCGTCAGTAAGTCATGTTAACAGGTCCAGTTATTTTAACAAATTCTTTTGATAATTTAAACGCTCAGTATTCTAGTCTAAAAAGTCCCTACTTGAATTTATAACCAAGTGCTGGAATTGTGATTTCCGTACTCCTTCTTATACCGACACCCTGGTTAGGATATAAGAGATGACAAACTTTTTCTGGGCATACTTTTACACTTTTATCTGTAAAGACAACTGAAGAGTAAAACTTATAGCTGGCAGTTATCCTGTCCACAGACCCAAAATCAGTTTATCGCACACGATCACCAACCTTACCCTGTAACTAACACAGTAGTTCGATCGAACTGCCCCATTTCGATCGATTCGTGGACACCATGTGTCTCATTAATTCCCCAGGTGTGAACTTGCTTTTTCACTCATGTAACTCCTTTTCCGTGGCTGTAATGGACATCAGCGTAACATCAAATGTTGATCTACTGCTAATTCGGTCGCAACAGTTACATTCTGCCTGCATAAGTTAGGCCCGATGAAATTTGCTGATTGGTTAATTAGACCCAGGTTTTTGGATGGTTTACTGGAGGTAGAATTTTCCGGTACGTCTGTGTAATATGTGTTAAATGAGATGATATCAACTTTCCTTTTTGAGCTTTTTATCCATCGCAAAATGCACATTTTTCCAATTTCTCTCAACTAACGATATCATTATGTGATAACATCTGAGTTTGTAGCTATCAACTCCACTCTGTAGTCAAGTGCATGATTTATGTAGAGACGTCCATTCAATTATATACAGTTTGTGTCTTATACTTTTTGGGCGAGCAAAAACGAGAGCACATTAAGTGCCTTTTTGACTTTGGTTACTGGCTTATTTTTTAATCAATGCCAGTTAATCGGAACAGCTGCACTAAAACGTACAGAGATTATTTCATCCAAATGGTTCACACCTCTATTCTGAAGTTGCTCTCTGGTTTGATGCATTGATATTCTTTTGTAAACTGGAAGCGTCGGAATTTAAGAAGTTCCTTGATAAACACTTTGCCGGCGTAAAATATATAGAGCGGAACACAGCATAACGGGTACTTGTCCATGAGTGAGTGACGATTGATGCAGCAACACTGAGCAAGCTCTACTCGCTGCTTCCAACCAGTAATCAGTAATCCGTAATCATTTTTTACGTCCATTACCTCCTATAGTTTGACCACTCAAACGTTGGGTCCTCCAAACCTAGTGGGTACCGGCTACAAAGAGAGGTGAGTTTATCGTTTATTTGCAGCCGATCGTATGCAAGATGATGGCCTACTATATGATATTAATATCACATATGTTATCCGCAGTTCCACCAATTTCAACTGACCAACTAGTCCAGCATGAGGTAGTCAGATCGCATGAATTTTTCTACCTACTGCGCCCTGATCAATTGGATTTACTAACATACTTTCTATCTGCTAAACCAATATTACCTTACTAACTTGTAGTAACTGTCGTAAGCCAATCGTCTCCTAACTGTCTCATATGCTCAACACTGTTCCATGGTCTAAGATGTGTCCTTCCCGACTGACGGTATGAAAGGCATATGTATTCAGTGTATCACCTCAAGTAGATGCCTATGCGAAATAGCCAGTGAACAGACGAAGATAGGTTAAATGGATAGTTCACACATCTGACTTTGACAATACTCACTTTTGGCACAATTGTGTCGCAAAACAAGCACGGCTTTCATTTTTGCCACGCATACTTGTCTAAAATGTGCTGATACGTGTACTACTTAGTCATTTACATAGAGTTGCTCGGATCCTTTTCAATTTGATATTCAAATAGTTGAGCGAAATTTCCCTAAGGACTTCCAGAGAAGATTGATCTGTATTTGTGAGTAAACCCATTACTGTTTGTAAGTGGGGGAAAGTTACTGTTCACTACAGCAGTTCACTCAGTATATTTCACCGTTATCATTCCCACAAGTTATAGCTAACTGGAAGTGTTTTCATCGCAAACATGTCTGGTTTACGTTTGAGATGGATCACTGAAGCTGTGGGCAATGTAGTACACCTCATTACTATCCAGTACAATTTCTCTTCTAAATAAGCAAGAATTCACTTTCAATATAAACTAGTACATACCTCCGATAAACCGCTCTTGGCTGCAGTTCACAACCAGTGATTGGAAACTACATTTTATTCTCCCCAGGATCAGCATCCAAACTATCCTTCTATCGATGTCGCAACTGTCCTAGCCGCCCGTTTTGCTGTGGAAGCTTGTTATCTAGAACAATACCTTTTGGACCCTTGGCTCCCAGTTCGACAGTGGGACAGTTATCTTCCCGTGAAATGGAATGTCAACGTACTAACACATTGGCAAAGTGAAGAACTTGAAAATTGGCGACAAAACGCGCGGTTTCTTAAGGTTGGTTTCCAGCTTCTCACTGAATGCTTCAAATCTGATATTTAAGTACATACATTTTTTTACCTAAATACCCAACATCTTAACAGTGGGATCGCACAAAGTGATAGGGTTTCAACGCATAAATAGTAACAAGTTACCATTCTACTAATCGATCTGTGGAATATCCTTCAGCAGGTTGTCCGCCAATCAAACTGCGTTTGCAAGCATTCTCAGAGGACTTGTCAACCCAGTGTATGTTACCGAAAAGTTTTTATGGACCATTTGCTCAGTTATAGAAACTGCTCCATCCACCGCGGGTTACTTGGAAGAAACCTAATGATGGCTTACAGAAACTAGTGTGCTTAATTGGCGCTCAAGTTTTCGCGCAACGGTTGAAAATACAGACATCCCATTTACTTGACGGGCTTACAACTTTTCGCTTTTGACACAGAAGCTTTTATGTCAAAAGCGAAGTGTCTTAAGCCCCTTAACTATATTAACCGCTCGTCCAACCAGCACTCCGAAACGATGAGTTCCCGATCGGTCAGCGAACAATCCCAAGATATCAACTGACATCCGAAGTTGTACGAAAGGCATTTGTCTATCAATTAGCCTGAACAAAATTATTCCCATGTATTAGGTTACTGGTGCACCAGACCATGTTACATTTCTGTGCTAATAATTCTCTCTGCGTTCCTTTGATGCTGGCTTCTCTCGAGTAAGGTAAGTGCACTAGAATGCGTCTTACATAGTGCAAGCAAAATGGAAGCAACTGGGTGCCTACGATGGGACTCGATTAAATGTTGTAGCTGGCAGAGTTGTCCAATGCGGATAAACTCATCGCGTTAGAGATTGAAATGTACCTCGATAAGGACCGATTAGCAGTCAAAGTTGCATTGGTTAAATGTATGCTTCTTTATTCCGTATCATTCGTATTCCACAACAAAACTACTATTCGTCGCTTTTCAACCCAATTTCCTTTTTCTCCTGTGCTATTGCAACGCGAGTGCAGTCCCTATCTTTTAATACGATGTTTCTCTAACACTTCCTTCAAAGTGGTTATACTAACTTATTCACACACTAAACCACTTACCATCCCACTGGAAAATACCATTTACGTTTTCTGCTCATTACTCGTTCTGGATTTTCAGTGTGGTATAGATTGATCTGTAGGCTTCACGCTACTTAAAATTTTGTAATGTTCCTGACTACCACAGATCGCTTTTAGCGAAACAGCACTAGCTTTCTGAGCGACATTTGAAATATTCTCTTTAGTTCCTACGACACATAGCTGAGCATGTGGCTATACTCCATGCTAGATGAATCCAGTTCCCAATGTTTCTGGTCATAATCGTTAAACACTAGGGAAGAACAGTGACACATTTGCGCAGTAACGCAATCCATACTTTTACGTGTATGAGAAGATGCTACCAGTCCCGTCCTCTGAAGGACTTCATCCAAGTCTTCAGGGAGTTGGATGTTCCCGGTCGCGCATGTTACCGGGATTAACTGGTGCAAGCCCAATGTACCTTGATTTCAGTTAAAAATGAATGGTTAACATGAACTAAATAAATTTAGCTTCTTTTATTGGCATACTGCCAACGGATGCAAATTAAACACTACTAGCCTCGTCTTCCATCTACTTGTTTTACCTTACGCCACTAACTTTGCAGCTGGCTGTAAAACAATCTGGTAGCTTCATTTCTTGGTTATTTTCCAGAGGAAGGAGGATATTCTCAAGTCCGTTGGTTGTGTCAGTGCACTCGTCGAGTTTTTGATTCGCGGGGTACTCTGTATTCTCAGTACTAATCTATATACACTAAATAAACTTTCATATATGCATTCTGATATGTGGCCTTTTCTTCATAGAATAAGTATGCGATCTTATCGCCGCTGGCAGAATATCTTAGACACACCGCACCGGACAGTTTGAGAACAGGGACTCAGCACTCAAACGATCCCAAAAATTTGACAAATTTATTGGACGCGCTTCACCAGCAAGCATTGGAGCGTGCAATACAGCTTGAATTCTTCCAACTGTTATGCGGTCTCCCACATGGCCTCATTGCGCTAACAGAACACATGAAAAGTAAGTCGATCCTACAGGTTTCAAATACGTTACACAACGTTTGAGTGAGAGGCGCTGTCAGTGTTTTTGTTTGTGGCGAATCTATGTCTTCTTTGCGTGTCAGCAAATACCAACAGATTAAGGGTACGGACGAGTGTCATAGGGAGACGCGTTTACAGATAACAGAATGAAATTGAGCATCTGAACTCAAGTAAAGACGTCCGTTTTCCCCGTGGATGTTAATAACTGTGGCGGAATAGAACTGACGACGGGTGGAGCTTTCCTACAAACAACCAGTACTCTATGACACATGGCCAACTCAATCCGTCGAATTCGACAAGTAAATCCAGGGAATACTATTTTTGATTTAGGGCACAGAAGGCTCCCAAGTATAACTCTGTGTCTGTGAGTTATAGCCACGGAGTCTCACTATGGAACTTTTGGTGGAGTTCGACAAATTCGCTTAAACTATTTTAATCGGTACACATTCGGTAACAAAGTTGTGACGCAGTTTACTTGATTTGTCTTCGGTTTGCTAGCTTCCTTGTTCTGCGTTTCAAGGAATTATAATTTATATGCCTGCAAATTTAACTGCTACTCTCCTTAAGCAGTTGTAAAAGGACGTGTCCAGTTTAGTTAGGCTCAATGCGTGTACTGAACTTCATCATGCAATTGTGTGAATCGGTATCCACCATGTTGCACCGAAGGCAAGTTTACGGACCGCAATTATTCAGTGAGGGAAGGAGAGTGAAATAACTTGAGGACACATGGAGTACCGCGGGTTAATCAGGAGCATAGAGCTACTTTTAAACCCCAGCTGAACCTGGCAAATTAATTATTGCAATTAGTGTCGCCACGTAAGTTGAAATTTAGTGGTCGTTTTGGGTAACCACCTGGAGTTTGTATCGCGTGTATTACAATTGTTTGAGAGATGGGTTGATTTCGCACAAGACATCCGGAAGTTAGGTGTTTCTCTAGTGCTATTATCTTCATTACTCGTTTGCACACATGAACGTGTCTTAATCTGGTTATAATATCACACACTGCGCCCATCACTTACAAGTTTATCGTCTTATTACGTAGTCGGCTGCCTACTGTTGCCAAGGTATTTAAGGAGTTAACATAATCCAGCTGATAAAATCCACGCATTTTCTTTAGGTCGTTTGTTAGGGTGTAGCAGTGGCATTTTGTAGTATTTCATTGAATATGGTCTTGGCCACACCCAGTTAGACAGCTACCATACGGAAAATTTCCAGAAGCCAACTCATTTCATTGTAGCGCATAAGCATCGTGTATCTCCCTCAAAACTTTCATGATTCCCTTTTAGGGGTTGGTGTAGGGTACGTTGCGGTGAGTAACATGGTCACGGCGCCTATACCATTTCTCAACTGATTGCTCGGCTGTATGAGACGGACACGCGTTATTGAAGTTAACGCGGGGTTTAATCCTCAGCAAACCCTGCCTGGCCTATTGTCTGGCCAATGTAGCTTTATTTGTTATTCAGATTCCCAGGTCTGTTGCCCATACTAGCCTCTTTTACTGGAGGATATTCACCATATAACAGCCGGCCAGCCAGATGCGAACCATGCAAAAAGCCAGGCCGTTAGTTCTTTTTCTCGAGACTCATCGGTAAGGTGTATGCCCCTATCCGGCTGTAAAGGCACGAAACGATATATTACGGGAAGTCAACAGCCTAGTGCTCTGCATCCAGAAGGCTATTGCTAAGCACCCAGAGACAGATTAAGTTTCAGTCTCCAGTCCACTTCTATCTGCCGGCTTCGAAACGCAACAGTTATGCTCAAAGCTGAACGGAGAATGGAGTATT